CAACCCCCAAACAAAAATACAGGTCATTCTAACTCTCTTAAATAAACATTGTTAATTACATACTTCCTGGTTTCTACAGTGTTTCTCCTTATACAACACCCAACGCTTCCTGCATTCTTAAAATTTGTTGAAAATCAGGCTAATGATAAAATGCATAATGCCTCGGGCGCCTGGGTGGCTCAGTTGATTAAGCGACTGCCTTCAGCTCAGGTCATGATCCTGGAGTCCCGGGATCGAGTCCCGCATCGGGCTCCCTGCTCGGCAGGGAGTCTGCTTCTCCCTCTAACCCTCTTCCCTCTCGTGCTCTCTCTCTCATTCTCTCTCTCAAATAAATAAATAAAATTAAAAAAAAATGCATAATGCCTTTATGAAGTATTCTGCTCTTCTTTCCCACACCCCCTCATGTTCCCTCATCCCTAAAGGGAAAAAAAAAAAAAAGAAAATAGAACCTGAACATGCCTGTAAATCTATCCAGCAGGTCAGAGAAAATACAGGTGGCAGAGAAACATGCTAAAATATAACCCACAGGGCGCCTGGGTGGCTCAGTTGGTTGGGCGACTGCCTTTGGCTCAGGTCATGATCCTGGAGTCCCGGGATCGAGTCCCGCATCGGGCACCCTGCTCGGCGGGGAGTCTGCTTCTCCCTCTGACCCTCCCCCCTCTCCTGTGCGCTCTAATAAATAAAATCTTTATAAAATAAATAAATAAATAAAATATAACCCACAATATCAAATCTGTGGAAAGCAGATGAGATTAAGAAATATTAAGTATAAATGGTACTGGAATTTTGTTTATAAAAGCAGTCTTTATCTTTTACTACTGTGCACTATTCTCTTTTTTGGGGGATGAGGGGAGAGAGGAAGAGAGAAAATCTTAAGCCAGCATCACGCCCAGTGTGAAGCCGAAGGATGGGCTCAATCTCCCAACCCTGAGATCAGTTCCTGAGCTGAAATCAAGAGTCAGATGCTTAACTCTCAATCTGTTCTTTTACATATATGTAAATTGAGATGTTTTAGAAGACAGAGTTAAAAATAAAATAAAAAGGTGTCTAGAAAACAAACACTAACCATTGTTCATTTCACTATGCATTAGTTGGTTAAGACTATTGTCACACATAAAGAACAAGTTATGCTACAGATGTTAGTTTTCTGGGAAGAGCACTGGTGGGGTATCCATAGTCTCCAAATTTTACTAAGTGCCAACAAAATTATATATGCCAGTGTTAATAGGATTAATAAAACTAATTCAGAAGTATAACTTTCAGCAAATTTAGTATATAAGAAATCTTGATAATAAACAGGAATGAATCCTCATGGTCTTCACTGATTGGTTGTTAATACTTACAATATTTCGGTGTTGTTACATTTATAATGCAATTTTTATTTATTTTTTTTTTTTTAAGATTCTATTAGAGAGAGAGAGAGAGAAAGCCCAAGTAGGGGAGAAAGGGTAGAAACCCAATGTGAAGCTTGATCCCAGGACCCGGGGATCATGACCTGAGCTGAAAGCAGACACAACCCACTGAGCCACCAGATGCCCTTAAAATACAATTTACCTTTCAGGTTTCCTTTAGTCTTCATAGCCACTCTATTAATAAGCATTATATACATTTTAGGGATAAGAAAATTGTGATTACATATGACTTTGGTCATAAACTTCTTTGCTAAATATCAAGTCTTTAGATTCTTCAACTGTTCTTTCCTAGGCTATCAGCTGCCTCTCTACCATTAAGAATAAGTAGAACTCAAAATCGCAGAAAGCTAGGTAACAAAGAAATGATCTGGGGCGCCTGGGTGACTCAGTCGGTTAAGTGTCTTACTTTGGTTCAGGTCATGATCTGGGTCCTGGGATGGAACCAGTCATTAGACTGCGTCAGGTTTTATGCTCAGCAGGGAGTCTGCTTCTCCCTCTCCCCCAGCTCATTCAGGCTAATAAAATCTTAAAAAACAAAACAAAAAAACCCCCCCAAACCTAAAGAAATGCCATGTATGTCTTGAAACATTTATGTGAATTTTGTGTTTTTAAGGGTATGCCTAAAGAAATTAGGTAGACACTGATTTACCCCCTTTACATAGGAAGACCCAGAGCTTTCAGCTCATCTCAGAGCCAATTTTCCATTCTCCTTTATTTTATATTTTTTGGCTTTTTTTAAAGATTTTATTTATTTGATAGAGAGAGTGAGAGAGCACAAGCAGGGGGAACAGTAGAGGGAGAGGGAGAAGCAGGCTCCCCGCTAAGCAGGGAGCCCAACGCGGGGCTTGATCCCAGGACCCTAAGATCATGACCTGAGCCAAAGGCAGACGCCCAACCATCTGAGCCACCCAGGTGCCCCTCCATTCTGCTTTAATAAAGAATCCAACACAGTTGATTTAGGATCATTATGTTAGCAACAAAGACAGTAACAAAAGTCTTAACCTTGCAAACTATCTTCAGAATGACTTCTGAAGAAACTAATTTTCCTGACTAGTTCTTTTTTTGACTAAACAGGTTCATTTTCCCATCACAGACCTTAGTAATATACTTGAATCGGCTCTTTACCAGGTATTGCCTGGTTGCTCGATTAGTTATCAGAAGTCTTTTCTACTGGCTGAGATTAGAATGGAAGGAGAAAGACATTACTTTTCACCAACCCTATATAAAATCAAGCAATACATCAGACTTACTAAGTTATTCTCTTGCCTCTTGAAAAACTCAAGAGTGAGGCCAATAGTGGCACTGCCACCAACTTTTAGCATCAAATAGCAGTGGCAAGGTATTTCTGCAAACATCTAAATTTCTTCTCTATTCTGTTTACAGCTCTTTTCAATTAACCCTTCGAAAGTCCTCACTCAAAACAATCTTTTCCTAACTTACTTATAGTGGGATGATGGTAGGGACGGTCCAAAGTTTTGCTGCCTCAACAGGACAACTAAAAGTAAAACTTTAGATGGCTATTCTCATGAAAAAGGATTGTACATGTTAAAATTCTCTATACACTCAATTTAAAACGGGAAACAGGAGTTTGTGTGACAGTCTATGGTAACCCCCAATTATTTGTATTATATATACATATATATCAATGTATTAGAATTTTTCTAAAGGGAGCCATGGACAAAGATATAGGCTAAGAATTACAGAAATAAAACTACTTCCTCATACCTTCTTACTCTTGACTCTGACCTCAAATTTCTTCAAAAAAAATATATAAAGATAGCAGGAAGGGAAGAATGAAGGGGGGGGAATCGGAGGGGGAGACGAACCATGAGACTATACACTTGAGAAACAAACTGAGGGTTCTAGAGGGGCTGGGGATGGGGGCATGGGTTAGCCTGGTGATGGGTATTAAAGAGGGCACGTACTGCATGGAGCACTGGGTGTTATACACAAACAATGAATCATGGAACAAATGGAACACTACATCAAAAACTAATGATGTAATGTATGGTGATGAACATAATAAAAAAATACATACATACATATATATATACATATATACACCAATACTCAAGAATCTACCTATACCATGTATACCAGAATCCCTACAGGTGTAGTTGGGCATGAGTATTTTTTAAGCAGAGTGTGTGTAAAGGGCAGCTGCTTCAGATTAATTTAGTAGGTCTCAGTGCCTTCAAATCACTCACCCAATGATCACATTTTCAGTAGCAAAGAGATGCCCAGATCTGTTCTCATTTTATATTTTAATATTTTCAAAGTATGAGAATCACCATAGTTTTCAAGATACGTATTCAAACATAAATAGACACAAAAATGTTAAGAAATCTCTAAGGACAAATGAAATAACCATTCTGATGATGCATGAAGAATACTCAATCATACAACCTTAATATGGCATTTAAAGATCTTAACAATCCAGGCCCAAACTATTTTTCCAGTCTTATTTTTCTGGCTTATTAATGACTAGCTTGTTGCAGTCCGTATCTCTCTCAAACACAAAAACTATACACGTTCAGGCCTTACTCATAGTGTTTACTGACTGACTTGATTCCATTACCCAACTCCCTTGGCATGACTAATCAACTCAGTTCCAAAAGTTCTAGTAATTCTTATATATATTAACATCATACTTATGATTGGAATACTGAAAACCTAAGATGAAAAATAGCAAAGGAAAATTCATACCAGATCAAGTTCAATATAGGAGTATGCTCCATATACCTCCATATAATGCATAATTAAAAAAGCAGGAAACCAAATAAACTTAGTATCTCCTTAATGTTCATGAGGACTAACGTTAACAGAATGCCATAGTATTTTTTGTGTATTATGTCATTCCCCAATACCTAATTCCTGTATCGTCACATCTAAACCTCTAATTCGTAATTGTCCATAATGTATCCCTATCCACACATCTTCCAATTTTATTTCTCAAGTCTCTTCAACAAATACTAATGTTCTTCTGAAGGCGCGCGCACGCACACACACACACACACAGAAATTAACCATTGTTCCTACCACCTTGGCTTTTAGAATGGTGTCAACCACCCCCCCATCTACAGGTCTTCAACACTTTATATAACCCCTAAAGCAATTTATATTGTTAATTCATTTATGTATGCTTACTGTATCCTATCTTCTATTAGTTGGTTTGCTCAAGGGAGACTTACGCATCTTTTTTTAAGTAGTTTTGCCGTAATGCCCTACAATGCAAAGCCAAATGGCAAGTGTGCACTAGGGAAATAATGAAGAGAACATGGAAATGCTAATTAAGTCCTATTTTGTCATTTGGCAAGTCTGGCACACACACTCAAATATAATACTGGACATGTTCCCATATGCCCTGACAATACATAAACTTATTCTTTGAAATCAACAGAAATGTCACCCTAGTATACCCCAGACAATTTGTAGGAAGGTATTTTTCATTTTGTTTATCAAGGGGGGACTTTGACAACATGTTTGTTGTTTGTAGTTACTACCGAGAGAATGCTCATTACAAAACAAAAATAAATGGTTCTTACTAAATGGCTGTTTACCAGAATAGACAAAACAACTTTAACATACCTGTCATAATAATCTCGTTGAAAGTCATAGTCCAAGTCAAAAGAGGAGCTGAAAAATAAATACCGAAGAGGATTAATTTGGAGCTGTTGATGTAAATTCACAATAGCAGATGGGAAAAACAAAAACAAAAAACCATGCAAAACCAACCATAACAGATCTAGAGATTAGCATGGAATAATCCTCAATCATTCAAGCAACAAATCACTAAAATTCCAATCATCTTAGAAGCCACTGGACATGCAGCAGCTAATTTTGCAAATTTAGCCACAAATCTACAATTTCAACATAAAACATAATAGCTAATAAGAACACTAAAAAATACAATAGTAAACCAAACATTCTTATGCTACCCTCCCTCCCTTTCATAGTTCCCAGCTACTTATACAAACTAAACAACTCTCGAAAGATTTCATTGTATGTTAAAAATAGCAAACTGCAGTAAGTAAAAAAATCTCAGGGAATTCTAGTAATTCTCTGGGAAATGGGCGAAAAAGGAGGCATACTAATACAAAATTAATAAAGCATCATTTTTACACAGATAAAACATATTACAGTTAACCCTCCCCACATCCAGAAAACAGATAGAGAAGATGCCCACTGATGGACACAATGCAGTTATAAATAATAAAGTTCCGGACCTGAGTAGAGGGGACGGAGAAGGGTGTTCTGGTACTGACCCGTACATCTCCGCTGCAGATCGTTTCACACCTGCTTTTCCTCGGTTCACTTTTGGCTCTGCGGCCAGATTAATATCTGAAAAAACAAAAAAGACAGAAACTTATTAATGACAACTCTGTTGGGGCAGGGGTAGGCCAGGATCTTGAACTACAGTACTTAAATGTGTACATAGTATATAAATCAACGAAGGCCGAACACTGTATCTCATCTTTCCTTATGTAAGGCTAGGACTTTGTACTTCAATACTTTGTCCTCTGTACCATAACATAAGAAGTACTCATTATATATAAGACACACACACACACACACACACACACACACACACACACACTCACTCATATATAAGACATGATGAAATTTGTCTTTGGTATCTTCTACCCTCAGCTCCCGCTAAAATGAAACTCACTATTAAGAGCATTTATTAGGAATCAATGAAATGCCTCAGAGATAATAAAATATACAGCAATTCACGAATTATTAATACCCTCAAATTATCCCCAAAGGTGAATTTTCTCCTTACAAACAGGATCAGCTGTAAAAGTTGAATAAAAATAGTTAATAAATACTATTTTGGAGGGGGGCGCGCCTGGGTGACTCAGTCGTTGAGCATCTGCCTTCGGCTCAGGTCATGATCCTGGGGTCCTGGGAACAAGCCCCGCATGGGGCTCCCTGTCCGCCAGGAGCCTGCTTCTCCCTCTCCTGCTCCCCCTGCTTGTGTTCCCTCCCTCGCTGTGTCTCTGCCAAATAAAATCTTTGAAAAGGAAAAAAAAAAAATTTGTAGACTTCACTGGAAAAAAAAATACTACTCAGGGCGCCCAGGTGGCTCCGTCATTAAGCAGCTGCCTTCAGCTCAGGTCATGATCCCAGAGTCCTGGGATCGAGCCCCACATCGGGCTCCCTGCTCAACGGGAAGCCTGCTTCTCCCTTTCCCACTCTCCCTGCTTGTGTTCCCTCTCTCGCTGTGTCTCTGTCAAATAAATAAAAATACTATTCAGTGAATTGCTGAACCTTTACATAGACATTTTGTGTGTGCACTTGTGTGTCTGCATGCACACGCACGCACAGACACACACACCAAGGGAGACTTAAGGGAACAAAGGAAAAGTCCTAGTTTCCATAAACAACTGTTATTAACTATTCCAACATGGCCAGCTATAACCCTGCCACCCACTGCCTACCAAACAAAAGAATTCATGATCTGTTTCTTATTCTAACAGAAATCCGTTGGTCAAAAACCAGCTCTCCAAAACTTAGTTCATCAAATGACCAATTGAAAAACAGATTTTTAGGACACTATTTGAACACCATTACATTTATGAAGAATCTGCAGAGTTCTTGGTTCACTAAACTCATTTCCAATTTTTAGCATCCAACATTAACAACCTTGCCTTTACAGCTGACTTTTTTATTTTAAGTAGGCTCCAGGCATAGTGTCCCCCAGCCCTACCCCCAGCTGGCCCACTGTCTTAAAAAAGAACCTCAACTCTAAAAATGCAATTAGTAATCTTAATTTTAGTAAAACATAAACAAAAAAGCATAGTTATTTTCAAACTGTGGTACTAAGCACACAAAATTTTTTCTTAAAAAAAGCACTTCCTATTCTGCCTGAAAACTAGAGAGAAGCAATTAAAATTGAATGATAAAACACTCCTGATGTACAGTGGCTTTTATATAATTCCCATTATTTCAGTAATTGGTAAGTCAAGATTTAGGTCAAGAAATATATCAAATCACCTGGAATATCCTGTGGTGCCAGAAAGCAAGGATGCAATGAAATTATAAGACTAAGGTCTCAAGGACACAGGTTACACTGGCCACAGATGAAATATTTTGAGCTGTAAAACAGGGTATGGAATGTACTACAACACACCAATTTAAATTATTAGAGGTATTAATATTATGGGGGCACCTGTCTGGCTCAGTCAGTACAGCATGTGACTCTGATCTAGGGGTTTGGGTTCAAGCCCCATGACGGGAAAGAGCTTATAGAACGTACTAAAAAAAAAAAAAAAAAAAAAAAAAAAAAAGGCTAGGCAACCCCCTCAGGTCCTTTCCCTCCTTGGGAGCTTTGTAGTATCACTTTGCTATGGCTCAATAAACCTTTGCTGCCCACCCCCCCACCCCCCGGCTAAAAACTTTCCATAATGAATGCTATTTCAGAAAAAGCAAATATTAATGAGTTGTTCATTTTAGAAGAGTTATGCAGAAGGAAATCAGAAATCCACTCTACTACAACCCCTAATGAAATACCTAATCAATGATCATCAATGGATGATCACCATTAAGGTGAAAAATTGATGGGAAACTTTATCACAGATGGATCAAGATCGAAAACCTGAATCCAGGGACGACTGGGTGGCTCAGTTGGTTAAGCGACTGCCTTCGGCTCAGGTCATGATCCTGGAGTCCCGGGATGGAGTCCTGGGATGGAGTCCCGCATCGGGCTCCCTGCTCGGCGGGGAGTCTGCTTCTCCCTCTGACCCTCCCCCCTCTCATGTGCTCTCTCTCTCTCATTCTCGCTCTCCCAAATAGATAAAATCTTTAAAAAAAAAAAAAAAAAAGAAAAGAAAACAAAACCCGAATCCAAATTATCCTTAACATCACTAAAAATGGGCAACCATGTTAGGTTGTAATCATGTTAGATATGATACAATATAAAATGCATTAACATTATCCACTGTAATTGAGTCAAGCCTCTAGATCTGCACAGTCCAATATAGTAAGCAGCTGCTAGTCACAAGTCTGAATTCAGATGCATTTTAAGTATACATGTTTGTATTTCTACAGGACAGCACTGCTCTAGATCTAGCATTATTACACAAAACAGAGGTAGAGAAAAATTAAATGACACCACGAAGAATCAAATCAGTACACAGTATGGAAGACACTGAGGCTTTCTTCAACAAATTAAATGTCACAAATTTTTTAAAGAAAGGAAGGGATGGGGAAACTCAGATTTAAAAGACACAGGGGCAATTAATCAAACGCATGTGGACACAGATTGGATCTGGATTTAAAAAAGTTTGAGACAATAAAGGAATCTAAATATGGATTAAATATTTGACAGTATTAAGGAATTACTGTGAGGTTTTTTTAATACGTGGTAAGAGCAGTGTGGTCTGCATTTTGTTAAACGTTCTTATCTGGTTGGATATATATGCTGATGTCTTAAAATTACTCTAAAAAAAAGAAAGCCAATAGAAACAAAAGATGAAAACAAATTAAATACTAGTTCATCTGTTAAACTAGGTGAGATGTGGGGTGCCTGGGTGGCTCAGTCGTTAAGCGTCTGCCTTCGGCTCAGGTCATGATCCCAGGGTCCTGGGATCGAGCCCCGCATTGGGCTCCCTGCTCAGCGGGAAACCTGCTTCTTCCTCTCCCACTCTCCCTGCTTGTGTTCCCCCTCTCGCCGTGTAAAATCTTTTTTTTTTCCGCTGTGTAAAATCTTAAAAAAAAAAATAAACTAGGTGAGATGTACTTACACACATTCATTAAATTCTTCTACCTTTGTTAGTAAATTTCCATGACAGTTTTAAAAAAAACCAAGTATCAGAAAAACCCGTCTTCATTTTATGATGCAAAACTCCTGTTTTAGTTCATTTTCCCTGCAGCCATTTTACAGATGCCATTTTATACATGTGTTTTCCTGTACTTCGGATATAGGACTAATGGGTATGAAAATTTCTTATGTATTCTCAATTACAACTATTCTATGTATCTTCAATGTCAAGGATTACAAGGCTAACTTCTAATATTTTTCCTTCCCAATCTAGTATGATTAGGATTTTTAAAAATAGTATTTAAGAAGTGTTTACAAATTACACAAAACTTTTATTCTAGGATGAAAGAGCTCTTCATGAAAGAGCCACTGAGAAACCATAATCAAACGTTCAAAATAGTATAAAAAGTGAGGGGCGCCTGGGTGGCTCAGCCAGTTAAGCATCCACCAACTGTTGGTTCTGGCTCAGGTTATGATCTCAGGGTTATGGAGCCCCGTAAGGCATCGTGCTCCATCCTCAGGGGGGAGTCTGCTTCAGATTTTCCCCCCTTCCCTCTCGAAAATAAAATAAAGAGGGAGCCTGGGGAACTCAAGTTAAGTGTCTGCCTTCGACTCAGGTCATGATTCCAGGGTCCTGGAATGGAGACCCACATCTGGCTCCCTTCTCAGCGGGAAGCCTGCTTCTCCCTCTTCCGGTGCTCCCCCTGCTTGTGCTGTCAAATAAAATAAAAAAATCTTAAAAACAAAACAAAATAAAATCTTAGAAGAGCTGCTCCTGCTATGAAGAATAATGCTGTTTACTACAAGAATGGAGCTGTCACTTATTAAAAAAAAAAACTGTTGAAACGTTACAGTAACTCATGTTATGTAAGAAGTATTTATTAAATGCTACAAACATTATCAAATGCTCAAGTTTTGTGTAGTCCTGTTAGGAAACACCAACATGGAAACACTTAAGGGGACAAAAATCCACTGCAACCTGAAGAGAGGAAGCCAGGTAGAAAATAAAACATTTAAGGTGGAATTAAACTTGAACATTATGCATTAAAAAAAAAAACAAATACAAACTCCTGAATACGCTGAAAACAAAAAGAAAATTTAAATAAGCCACCACAAGAATAATCAGAAAACTCTCAACTAAAAAAAGTCTCAATTATGAATTGCTATAAACTTTATAAATCTATAGTAATTTTGTTTAACTGCTAAGCAATACCTTATCAATAATGGAACTAGCCATTCTTTGGCACTCAAGATGTCTGTGTGCTTATTCCCTCTTATTCGTAAAAAGCAAAAAGAAATAGACTTTTGTCTTACAAACCTTTCAGCTTCTCTAATATTCACACCCAGGAAAATATAAGCTATATAAAATTAACTATGATTCTGACAGCAAATCAGAACTGATTTGCAACTGATACGTAGGTAGAAGACTATTCAAGGAGATGAAATTCTACAATCAGGAACATACTTATGTTAGCTCTAAGTCCTATGTAATGAGATCTTCTAAAGATTAGAATATAAACATCTGAGCAGAGATCAGATCTCATCTTTCAAACATTTGAACATGGTAGATCAGGAGACCCCTTATTGGGGAAACTTAACAGCTAAAACAAAACCAGTTTGTACTGCTAATGCTAAAACATATGCAACAGTTAAGTACCTTTCATTGAGTGTAACATGCTAAACTTTTATTAGAAGCTTCTCATGAATCATCGTAATTAATCCAAATTCTTGGTAACACCGAAGTACTATTACCTCAGGTTAAGAACAGAAATAGACTTACGTACTCTACCTCCATTTTAAGATGAGAAGGCTCAGCCAAATTATGTAGACTGCCTAACACAGAGTTGTGCCAAGCAATCTGACTCCACAGCCCATGAGTGACTAAGCTATATTGTCTTTGCCATTTTACTGTCAGCGGGAGGACAGCTATTTATGGAGCAACTGTACCTGACGTATTATCATTCCTATCCTCCTGACCTTACTCAAGACCAGCAACTCGTTATCCAGTTTCTGCTACACAAAAAGGAATAAAATCCTTATTTAGCCAATTATACCTATAACCTAACATTTTTTTACTTAGCTAAATGGAGAGAGAGAAAAACAAGCATGAGCAGGACAACCTTGTATCTCAATTAACAGTCAATGAAGAAATTCAACCCAGATCTTACCTAAAACCTGGCCAGCAATCATTCTGCCATCCTCTCCTGCCACAGCAGCCCGGGCATTTCTCTCATTAACATACTGAACGAAGGCAAAGCCCTTATGGACAGAGCAACCAACAATTTTGCCGTATTTTGAGAAGATTGCCTCCACATCAGATTTCTTCACCACAAGAGTATTGAGATTCCCAATGAATACACGGGAGTTCATGGAGCGAGGATCTGTCTTGTTGGTAACATTGCTGGCCATTTTCTTTGATGATAAGGTTCCTCACAAGGCCGAAAAACTAGAAGGAAAAAAAAATGCATTCAGGTGGGGAAAAAAAGATAAAATCAAAATACTCGATAAAACTTTCTACTCTTTATTTTGAACCACTGTGACGGACTAGAGTGTCAGTCAACATATAAAGGGCTCTCACAGCAGCAAGTACATTACTATTTTAGAGCGAGAGCTCCTGAATATATGCATCCTTATACAAATTCAGCTCCATCTTCCCTAGTCTACTCCAGCAGTGCTAGACTACCATTTCACGGGCCAGTGGGTGGGGAAGACTACTAGCAACACAATTAAGGACATTATTCATTTCAAGTGAGCCCTCTCTGTTCTAAAGTCCTCAAGCAATTTAGAACCCCTTAAGCTCTCTACCACCTTTTCATTATATTTTTAACCTTCCCTGTCATACTAACCTAACCATTCTCTGCCATATATCAAGAATTCCACCTTCTTACACATTGCTATTATTAAAATGAGGCTCACCTATTCCAAATTCTGCCCACAAACCATTCTTTAGCTCAATTTGTTCTACAGACACTCTCCCCCCCTCAAGTATAAACTTTATTATACTAAGGCAATATATACACCCAAATCATTCACTCTGGAAATATTTATTTCTGGTACATTAATTGATTTATAATATGCCAGAGATACCTTAAGTAACAATACCATCATATTACAGAATGCAATGACTCTTGACCTACTTTTTATGTGATAATCTACAAAATACAGCTAGGATATTTGTTAATACTAGATGGTGATGATGATAAAACTAGCAGGTAAAACACTGCATGAATCAAAGAGGACCAGGAGAACTAAGAAGAGTACAACTTTCCTCAGACTGTTTCCAAAACAAAAAATCATTTTCTATGTATATGAAGGTTCAATCATAATTACATGAAGATTCATGATACTATCATCTTTTAGGTCTTTTTCAAGTGGAAACATTTTGACATTCTTTGAGTTTTTTTATCTGCTGCTCCTTCCCACTCCAACTACCAAAACTAAACAGGGTTTAAAGATAGGTCCGCATTCTTAAGATTTATTTCCCATTCATCCCTTTGACACTCAAATCAGATACCAGTGTCTAGTATGTTATCTTTCCAATCCCCAAAAGAATGACAAAGTAGTTCATGGATTATATAAAAATATCTTCTATATACATATATATGTGACAAAAGAGGTAGCATAACATCATTTATACAGATACTTATATTCTGATCCTTAAAACACCTACTCATTTCACAACTAGTACCTAGATTTTTTAAAGCTGTTAACAACTGCTTTTCCCTCCTAGCCTTTCTAAAATTCAAGTAATTGTCTTTACTTGATTTTGGTTTCTGAATTATAGCTTTATAAACAATAGTTCTTAATTTTTTTAGACTAAGCAATAAAAATTTACCAAACAGTAGCACAGAGTCACCAACACTCTTTCAACTCTAAGTATGAGTCCCAGAAAGCATCTTTAGAATGCCAAAAAAAAAAAAGCAGTGAAAGGCCTAACTGGTTTCAAATATTACTTGCTGGTTATTAAGGTATACTATTATTTTAAGTGGGGAGAACTTAAGCCAGTTTTCTATGAATATTTTCACCAAAAATAAACATATTCTACATATTACAGTAAATAATAGTATGAAGTATAGGAAAAATCTTCCTAGGATGAATTAGCAATTACCTTAGGGGAAAAAGGATGGTTCTACATGACATCAGGAAACTGAACAAGAGTGTAAAACACCAGACAATAACGTCCTCTTCAAATATACTCCTTGGAACCACAGAACGGAAATCGATTTAGATGACTATTTTCTCACTTTTTACAAAGATGGTACATAGCTAGTACCAATCTAGAAGTAGACAATTCATTACATATGAAGAATGCCTTAGGATAGTAAGGATTAATACCCATGGAACTCCATTTGGAAAGGCTGGTAAAGAAACATCCAGATACACAAGTAAAAAGGTGCTAACAATGGTTGCCATCTCTGAATTTAAGTACATAATTTAATCTGTTTTCTCCAATTCTATGTGGTTACTAAATTTGCTACAGGAATCATGAATTGTTAACAGAAAAATAATACTGACCTCAACCTCAAAAGCTTGGCTGAAGTCAATGGAATAGCTTTCAATGCCCATACTTAATCTAAGGATTTAATCACGATCTGAGCAACAGTAAAAACAAGTGCCCACAAAGGACCATTAATCCTGCTCCAAAGAACACATCTTCTAAAGAATTACTACAAATTTGAACTTTTCCCTGAACATTTATTATCTGTTAAGTACTAGGTACTTTTCTCAGAGGAAAAATAGGGAGAGACAGGAGTCCTCTGAGTTTACACACTAATGATACCACTGTTAAAAGTTTTATTGAACAGGGAACATATTTCCCAAATTTTACAAATAACCAAATGAGCTTAGGTCACATTTCACCTTACCGCTGATCATTAAGGTACCTTACCCATGAAATCTCTGCTGGGGGGAGGTGTAAAATGGTCAGTATCCTAAATGCAAAGAAACTATTGTGGGCCGGGGAAACCCCTGGGTTTCCTAGAAGAAAATAGCAACAGCAAAGCAGTTTTTGAACCTTTCTGAATCCCCACCTAAAAGCAACTAGATAGTAAGCTTGAGTGTCAAGGAACCCCAATGGTACTCGTAAAAACATCCTAAGATGCCAGAGCAGCTTAGTCTCTAAAATCTCAAAACTCAGAACCCCACGTGCAGCATTCCATTCTTAAAACCTTTCCAACCCCCAAGAGTTAATTATTCTAACTTTATAGTAATCACTTTAATTTTACTTGTGTGAGGGAGCAAGCGCATGAGCAGGGGGAGGGGCTGAGCAGGGAGAGAGATGAGGAACTCGATTCCAGGACCCTGAGATCATGACCTGAGCCCAAGCCAGACACTTCACCGACTGAGCCACCCAGGCACCCCTTTTATGGCTCCTTTTAGGTAAGTTTCCCTTCCATCCCTTTAAATTCGAATTTATTCTTTCAAGAATACAGGGTACTTGACCTGAAGTTTCCCAGTCTGGATTTTCCACAATTTCATACTCTTAGTACAATTCCACATATTCTGTTTTTTCCTGAAATTGGAATCTGGGACCAAAGACTTGATCAGATCCACGTGTGAATCTTCTGGAAGACTATATAAATGACGGGCGCCTGGGTGGCTCAGATGGTTGGGCGTCTGCCTTCGGCTCAGGTCATGATCCCGGGGTCATGGGATCGAGCCCCGCATCGGGCTCCTGGCTCAGCAAGGAGCCTGCTTCTCCCTCTGCCTCTCTCCCTGCTCATGCTTTCTCTCTTTGCATCTGTGTCTCAAATGAATAAATAAAATCTTAAAAAAACAAACTATATAAATGACATTGTCTTTTTGTAGTTATTAATGCTTAAATTGTACATCTTAAATATTATAATATCTTAGGTTTATCTCTAATCTATTACTTAGAACAAGTTTCTCTTGCATGTTGGTTAACAGTTTGCCTGTGCCCTCTATTATTTCTAGAGTCGGTTCTAAGTTGGTTTTGCTGGGTATAAAATTTAGCATTGCATTTTCTTTCTTTAAATATGTTATTATTCTATTTACTTCCAAACTGTTAAAGTGCCTGTCACAGGGTCATTCCAAATTGTAAACCTTGCTGGCAAAATTGTTTTTACAGGCTTTAGTAGTTTACAGGGTTTTTGCTTTATGCTCAACGGAGTCTTTTCTCCCTCTCTCCCTCTGCCTCTCCCCCTGCTCGAGCTCTCTCAAATAAATCCTTAAAAAAATTTACAAGTAGGGGCGCCTGGGTGGCTCAGTTGGTTGAGCGACTGCCTTCGGCTCAGGTCATGATCCTGGAGTCCTGGGATCGAGTCCCACATCAGGCTTCCTGCTCAGCAGGGAGTCTGCTTCTCCCTCTGACCCTCTTCCCTCTTGTGCTTTCTCTCATTCTCTCTCAAATAAATAAAATCTTAAAAAAAAATTTACAAGTAAAAAAATAAAAATAAAGTTTCAGAAGAAAACGGGTTAACTTTTGCTTTTTACCTTACCTCTGTAGTGTATTACAGTCTACATGCATTTTTAATTTTTAACAACCTGGTATTCTAATTACCAACAATTGTAGTCTTTAGAATAATCTGCTAATCACTTTAGGGGCACCTGGTTTCCTCAGTCAGAACATGTGATTCTTAATCTCAGGGTTGTAAGAGATTACTATATAAAAAAATAAACTGCTAATCACTTAATGTGGGAATTACGATTAAATGTTTAGTCAAAGGGTGCCTGGGTGGCTCAGATGGTTGAGTGTCTGACTCTTGGTTTCAGCTTGGGTCATGATCTTGGGGTTGTGGGATTTAGTCCCTCGTTGGAGTCTGTGCTTGGTGGGGAGTATGCTTGGGATTCTCTTCCCATCTCCCTGTGCCCGCCCCCACACCCTGTGCATGCATAATCAAGCTGTCTCCAAAATAGATAAATAAATCTTTAAATAAATGTTTAAGGCAAAAGCAGTATAACACTTGTTCAGTAACAGGAAACATATACAAACTATTCACATAAAAATCATACTTAGGAAAGAGCAAGACTCTGCTTTTGGTTAATCCTTATCACCTACAGTTCTTCATAAGTCCAGTTTCTCAAACCAGTTTATGAATTCCACCACCAGAAGTTTCTGGCACGTTCTAAACACTCAATATTTCCTCACAGACAAAATTAGTCCAGTCATATCCTTTTAAGTTTTCTCAGAGAAAACATTTTTTCAAGTTTTTTTTTAAAGATTTTATTTATTTGACAGAGACATAGTGAGAGAGGGAACACAAGCAGGGGGAGTGGGAGAGGGAGAAGCAGGCTTCCTGCAGAGCAGAGAGCCCAATGTGGGCGAGCCCCAGGACTCTGGGATCATGACCTGAGCCGAAGGCAGACGCTTAACAACTGAGCCACCCAGGCGCCCCCATTTTTTCAAGTTTTAATGTTAATTCCAGTTAGTTAATATTAGTTCCAGGTGTTAACAGAAAAATCATTTTTTAAGGACGTTTATGTATT